AACGTCTCTCAAAACCGTCCCCTGCAAAGATTCCATCTATCGGCAAAAACGCCGTTGTTCATTGGTTGGGGTCTACTTTCCGCTTGCGCGATTACCAACACTCTGCATTACTGGCGAGTTCAGTGTCAGGTAACAAGCGAGCTCTCGAAAACAGGGTTATTGATAGAAGCATAGAGGCCGAGACAGGCCTTAATGCTCCAACACACGCACGTTCCCGCTCCTACATCCCAATCTTTATGGTGGCGTACCCCGCCTCTGAACCACAATGAGAGTCTCTTTCTTCGCACCAAGCCATGCAATTCCTGTATGTGGGGGGGCGGAATTCATCCTCTGCAATCCACCCCTCCGCTCAGGCGGCTTTGCAAACATGTGCTTTTCTTGGCAGGTTTCATCGTTGGTTAAGGTTGACTTGCTGGTGTGGATTTGAGATGCACACTTTGGATGAGAGTTTTTAATTCGGCTAGGAGGGTGGAGCTCGAAATGCTGGTTCATTCACCGCCTTTCAGTGAGATGGTTAAGCCGATATGTGGAAACTCCTATCGCTTGACAAGTGTAGTTTAAGTGTCTTCCGGACAATGAATTCATATGCCCTACGTGAACACATATGGAACACTCATTCACTCTTTGAATGAGACTGAAAGATACTTAGGTGAGAACCAACTAATTCACCACCTACTTGGATACAACCACCTAGTCGCATGATTCTCTACCACTTCAGAAATTTGCAGTCAGATAACTACCCCAACAACTATATAGAAAGTTGCCTAATTACAGAGAACTTTAACAATTATTCCCATTGTGCTGGGAGCCGGTATGAAAAGTGTGTTCTATAATACCACAGCCCACTGCACTGTGTATGCTCACTTTTGTGGTTGTTTATTAGACTGCTTAAACCACTTCTCTTTTATAGAAGATCCATCCCCTATTAACAGTCAGATCTCTCCCTGGCTCATATATTTTATAAATATTTAACTATGTATAATCATCTGACATCTCCTAACCAGCTAATCAAAAGCTTGATTAATTGAATTAGATAAGCTTTAAAAACTTGAGATATTTTTAATTTTCTCACTTTTAAAAAGACTTGGCTATTATATATTATAAAATGTAACAGTAACAAAATATTTAAAACCTATATTCTATTTTTAATAAAAATATAAAAATAACAAAATATTTAAAACCTGTATTCTATTTTTAATAAAAATATAAAAATATAATTTTTAATATAATTATTATAAAAAAAAGAAATAATTTTAATATAATTATTTTTAAAAGAATAAATAATTTTTAATAATTATGAGAGATATAAAAAAAGTTAATATATAAATAAAAAAATTAATTAAACTTAAATTTAAATTTATTATAATTATTATAGTTATTTAAAATTAAAAGTTAATAATATTAATTAATTATAAAAAGTTAAATATGTTTATTAAAATTTATATATTTTAAAAATTTTAAAAATTAAATAAATTATTAAAAATAAATTTAATTAAATATATAAATTTTATATAAAATTTTTTAAAATTTAATAATTAATTTAATTATTTTTATATTTTTTTTATTTAATTTTTAAAATTTTTAAAATATATAAATTTTTTTAAATAATTATTAAATTTTTATAAAAAAAATATATTATTAAATTTATAATTAAAGAATTAATTTATTTAATTAATATTTATAATAAATAAAATAGTAAAATATTATAATTAATAAAAATTAATTTATTAAATAATATATTTAAATAAATAATTAATATAATATTTAGTTACTATTAAAGTTATTAATTTTAATTTTATTTAAATTTTATATATATAAAATATATAATATATTTAAAAATTATATTTTAAAAAAATTAAAATAAATTTAAATATTAGAAATTTAATAATAATATATATAAAATTTAAAATATTTTATATAATTAATAATATATATTAATAAAATATATTTAATAATATATATAAATAAAAGTATATTATATATTTTTTATCATAATAAAATATTATATATATTAAAAATTAATATTTAAAAAGTTAATAATATTTTTTATAATTATTCAATAAATATTAATTAAATCTTATAATATATATATAGAAATTAAAAATAATATGTATTGAAAAATAAATAATATTTAAAATAATTTTGTAATACCATTTATTAAAATTTGAAGTATTTAAAATGCTACTAGAGAATAATTTGCAAGGTAATTTATAAAAAGCAACAGGCAGTGTTTTTCAATGCTAATAAGCTAACTGATATAGTTGCTTTTATTTAGAACACTTGTTTGCCTCTGTAATGTTGCATCAATGTTGTTCAATCGATTCTGAATTCTCTTGTTTAAAATCTCAAAAGCCGACTGGGATAACCTCTTCATAGGGCTCCATGGCGGATAGTTGAATTTGGGGCACTGGAGATGAAAAAGAGTCAGGTCGTTGGATTAGCGTTAGTTAACTGACAATAAGTTACAGTAGTTAGTTAAATGAAGATTTCAACCTTACTCTGATGAGCGGGCAAGCCATTCCTTCGTTATCTATGGTACGATTTGTATGGACTAGTTCAACATCTGTGGACACTCCGTACCTTAACTCCGAGTCACTTTCCCAGCTCCTCCCCAGAAAGTTTTATATTATAGGGACCGAAACAAAAAAACCGTGTTTTCCTGCGTTTCGACATCTTATCAATTCCCTTAATCGGGTTAGCATGATAATTGTATCGCATTAACTATGAGGCTTTTACATTCTGATGGATACCACATTCTGCAGGGAAGAATCGTTCCTCCATTTTTTCCCCCCTCGGGCATCCGTTTAACTAAGGAACAAAAAATCTCGGTGGGAGGTCGTCGATGGTTCCTGACGGAAAGACATAAAGTTCTGAATAATACTAATGGTAACAGTGGATTGTCAGATGATTGGTGTGCGTGTAAACTTAACAAAAGAGCCGAGCCGCGCAAACTGAAAGAAAATAGACATGAGGTTTTGCCACCACCCTTGCTTTCTGAGCCACTGCGATGGTTGAAGACCGAGGCATTTTGAAGGATGACAGCCTAGTTGGTGAAGGTCAGTGGGGGGTGTATGGAACTACAGCGTGCAGCGTGCCTGTATATAGTTAGTAAAAGAGGAAGAGACATCTCTCCTGAAAACCTTCCTCTGCTATAGCGTGTCATGGGAGAAATTCCAGAAGACTAATTGAGCCTCGTCGAATAGCGGCGGACGAATAATGCGGTTGTTAAAGTGTAAAACAAAGTTGGACAACTTAAATGCAGACGGGACGAAAAAGGCTGTATGACATGTTCTAACGTCCAGCGTATGTGTTGTCCTACACATGCGGGGCACAAGGTGGACAAGGTGGAAATTCCAGAAGTTTTTCTTGAAGCCCCAATCCCGAATGAAAATCTCTGGTCTTGGATTCCTTCAAGGGCTGCGTGGGTCAAATGACAGCAGCTATGGTATTCTGATCGAATCGGTACCGATCAAGCAAATTGGTAACGAAATACTATTATTTGTAATATGTTTTCCACAGCGTTCGGTAGTCGAAGTCCGCCTGGCGGGATCGAATCGGCAGTGAATATGTTTGTTAGTCGAACCGGGAGCTCTGAACAGTTCAGAAAATCGGTTAATAAACGGAAAATATAAAACATAATTTAGTTGTCTCTGGCTGCACGGGGCCGTTGAAGATACTGCGTAAAAACTTATCAAGCCTGGGTCGAGCACGAGTCCTCGCGACAAGAACCCGCACGCTCCAGCAGCCCTGCTTCTAGGGAGGTCATGGCGCTGTTATTTATCTCCTCAGTCGTCCCCCAAGTATCGAAGTTATTGACCTGGTGGGTTGGTAAAAATTCAACCTTGATACTCCCTCATTCAATGTAGTAAGGTCAGTCAGTAAATTGATAGGAAAATTTTAAGTGTTTTTCGTCATAACAATTTTTGAAAATGCCATCTCAGCAACTCAATTGAGAATATTGACATGAGATAATTTCCAAGAAAGTGAATCTAAATGAGAGCCCATGCTCTTAATAGTGCATAAAACCAGCTTCTCAGAAATGTCTTCCAGTGAAATAGATGTTCTCAATAAAGTTATCAAGTATGTAAAACCCTACAATATTCTAAAACCACAAATTACAAAGATGATAAACAGAGGGAGATAGTTGTGATTCAAAAAATAAATTTGAGAATGAACACGGTATGCAATCAATTCTGTCAAAATATCTCAAGATGATGAGATACATCTGCGAGAAATAACTCACACTAATGACAATTATCTGCCAAATCGTGTATCGACAGGTCGGACTCGCGAAGTTCGCAAGGCGGCGTCAAGACGCATATAATACCGAATCCAAGCAAATAGAACAGGAACAATACCGCTGGCCTGTGCCTCTGCATCTTGGACCCCACTCGTACGTGTAAATTGCAAGAATGTACGGAGTATTAGTGGGCATAGGAGTGTATACGGGGTTGTAAATGTCCTGAACGAGAAATGCGAATAACATATGACAAACGAATGACAAACCGCCGGTTTGGTGGTAACTAACGAATTAAGGATCGAACCTTAGGGCTTGACTGATCACGTGGATAACCGGGGTAGTTAAAAGTTTAGGAGGTAAAACGTTCGAACCTCGAACCTCAACCTGAAGTTCAGTTTACACCAACGTCACGCGAGCAGCCAGTGTCGATGCTTGACGTCTAACATGACCCCGTGTTGGAGGGCGGCGGGTTATTAAATCTAAACAAGGATCTCCACTCGGCTTTATGGATCGGAGTTTTGCTGCCCTGAGCATTTAACCGTTCCCCCTGTGAATCAGGTCATGTCGTCTTGTCAGCAACGATGAATTAATTATCCGTTCTCCCTGGAATAGCCCACGGTATTAGGTATTCTTTGAATCGTGTCTACATAGGGGGTTACAGGTAGTGATGTCTGCGGTGTGCATTATCTTCTCAGATGAAAACAGCAGATATGTTGGTTAGCATAAAGGGGCCGAATGCCATATACCAATTCAAGGCGATATGGACCATCGGAACACTTTTCCTTCCCAGCAGGGGCAGGCTTCACTCGTCGAAAAATCCCCCGCCACCTGTTCCCAACGGCACGGAAAACCTGGAGATCCCAAGGGTTGCACTCTGTCCCTCCTCGACCTACCAAGCGAACTGCATATACAGCTCCTGTCCTGGCTGAACTTTCGTGACCTCCAAATGCTTCGTGCTACAAACAGCTATTTTCGCAACCTACCCTCAGAGGCGGAAATCGCCCGTATCCGACGCAGCTACCTCAGTGATCTTGCTCGTGCGGAGATAGAAGAAGTCGCCAGATCCACAACCCTCACGCTATCACGATTCTCAGCCAATGAGGCCGACAACGAGACCAAATTCATTTCCCCACAGCGTTTGACATGCTACAGCTGTCTCCGGGATCTACCAATTCGTGCCTTCTCTAGCACACAAACAACGCGACGGCGAGGGAAGGGACACGCAGATGCCGCTAAACGCTTCTGTGCCGATTGTGCTCTCCGTCTCCACAAATGGGAGCCAGGGATCACTCTCTCGTTCTCTTGGGGTGAAGCGGTATATTGCCGGCGGTGTCGCGAATTGAAGCCATTACGTGAGAATGAGACCGAGTGGGCGAGGATTTTTGGTTTGTGTGAAGGTTGTCGAACTCTGCTAGGGATTCCGGATTGGCATCAGCATGGTGAAGGAGAAGGGGCGCAAGGATTTTGGTATGGAGCGAAAGAGCTGCTAGATCGCACTTTTGCGGAAAGAGGTAGGAGAATTGGGGAGAAGGACATAGAGGATATGTGGGAGGAGCTGAGGGCAAAAATTGCTGAGTTGAGATTATCGGAGGAATCATAAGACTAGAGGGGTAGGCATAGGTAAGTTAAGGCAGAGTAATTGCTTATCGGGATGCAGCATATGACGTGCATCTGAGCCTTTTCTCACAGCTTTCATTAAGTTAACTGCTGATCAACTGTCACATCATTCAAGGAACATGATTCAACCTGACGATTCCGACAAAATAAAACACACACTGGTTCTTCCTCAAGCCTACCTCACCCGCCCGGCCACTCCTGTCGCTGGGCGAATTCCTCCGACATTATTACCCTTGGAGTTTTGGCCCTGAGGCAATCGTTCCCAGCGGAATGAAAATGGCGATTTTATTTCTCGTGATTCTTCACATTCCCATGAAATTATGTCAGTCTGATTTTGTACAGTGATGGTTCTAGAGCAATGAGCGTGGACCCATCTAACATTGTCCTCTTTAATACGTGGGAAGGATCAAAGCCTACCATGAATCTTGGAAGGAAACAACCCTTTTATAAAAGTCGAATCTTCCGTTTCAGTTGCACACCTGGCTATACAGTATATATACAGCAGGAAACAAATCAAACTCATTATACGATCTCAGTGCCAAAGGTGGACTCAATCTACCAAAACATCAATCGAAAGAACCGCCCAAACTAGGTTCTGATTTCCCTTCATCCCCATCTGTTTTGACCTTCCCATATCAACATACTCCCTTTTTCCAATTATAGCACTTTTGCTTCAGACAAATATTTTTCGTGCTACGAGACACAGCCACTCCGACCCCAAATTCGGTCATTGCCAACGCTCATCAGGGGTAAGCGTCTCTGGCTCCCTGATAACGAGGCGAGAAATGACATTGTCGTTGGGTTTATGTGTGAGTCAGGAGGAGAGGAGACGTCTGTTAATCGTCTTCCTGGTACGATGATATTGGCATTGGGATTCGTCATCGATTGTTGTGATGGATCCACCCAGATGTGCAGAATGGGTGGCGGCACACTTCATTAGTATATGTGGTTTCTTATGACGGGAATTTGTTACATCTCCCCTGGTGGTAAAAAAAAAAAGCGCTTCAGGAAGGCCATGTGGTACGCTGTATTGCGTACTCTCGAGAGTGTATATACGAGTCCTGAATTCCTAAGCGGCATTGGTCATGGTTGATACGGTGTGTTTGGTTTAATATCTACCAAGGTAGAGGTGCGGTGAGTCTCATTAACCAGATAATCACGCGTTCAATAGGGGTTCTGGCGGCGGAGGTGCTAAGCGTGGAATCGTTATGTTTCATTGGTCTCACAGTTGCAATCTTTATTTTCTGTCTCTCCCTGTTCTCGACAGGGTGCTGTGAAAGAAACGTCCTTTTCGCGAACAAATCCACCATATATCATTGCCTCAACCGTACCCTCATTGGAATCGGCCCCCAGTGGTTACCAAGCAGTACCAGTTTCAAACGTGGAAACTAACGAAACGAGCACAACTTCGCCGTTAAAATCATATAACAAACATATTTCAACCGACCAGGTCGAAACTTCTCCCGTAGTATTAATGTACATGTTTGCCAAATAACTATACATATACTATCTACAAATACCAATGCACATATGCACGCACATACTGTACAAACACGAATGGATGCAAATCAAGGGGATTGACCTACGGTTCAACACCCAGATGTGTTGAAAGGACAGAAAACGAGGCAAAGTAATCGGGGCACGAACGATGACATGGTAGAAGGGCGGACCGTTTAAAAAGAAAAGAAAGGAAAGGAAAGGAAAGAGAAGAAACGCAAATATACATATGATGCAGAAACTGACCCTTTTGACGAATGGCTACGCCTATCTTAAACACGTACCCATTACAACAATAATTAGCCCCGCCATATATGTGGCCTTCCTTCACCGCATCATACTCTGTCTCAAGCAATCTATCCTGCACCAACGGCCGTGATCGGAAATCTGTAAACGGGAGAAAGCAACCTTGTAAAAACCAGCAAAAGCGATCCGCCGCGGCTCTCAGGTCTCCTGACAGTGGTCATCGCATTGAGCACTTCTCCGCAGCCCTCCCCACGCGAATAACTATAGGGACATCCGCCGCCCTGGCCTCTCGGATACAGCACGCCATACACGTCCGTTTAACGCGGCCTACGACTGCATTTACACCGACCATTGCACACCATGAACGTGCAAAGAGCTCTTTATCATTGCTACCGCGTGCGTCGATGATATACGTGTGTTTCTGTCGCAATTGTTCACGCTTTGGCCCGCGATCAGTCGCGAACGATAGATAGTGTGTTGGAAAGTGGAATGAATGATGTTCTGTAGGGGGGGGATTTGGTGTCGCAGTTGGTGGGAATGGGGTCGATGGTAATGAATGGATGGGGATATAGCTGTATGGAAACGAGTCTGTGTGAAGTGGGTGGCCAGGGAGTCGGGAGTAGCAACGGGGTTTGCCCTTCTTGGTGATATCATTTTTGTTATGCGATGACCGGCGCTTTTCATTTCTGAAAGAATTGAGACGGTGGTAGTGCCGGTTGCGCCGACCGAGCTGGGAGCCGAACGGTGTATTGGGGTGTGCGATGTAGCCATACGGTGGAAGGCAAGGGAAAGATGATATGAATGAGACATTGTACTTTATGTGGAAGGTAATTTTAGATGGTGCTGATGAGGATGGGGCGAGTGTAAATGTTAGATGTGCGGTAGCCTTGCGAGGGCGCGCAAGAACAGAAGGATTATGTGAGCGTTGTATAGACAGGATGGAACTTTCATACGATATGTGGGTATCAAGATCTGTGCCGGAGTGAGCTTCATCAAGCGGCAGTGAGAAAGCGGTTGCTGTCAAGTCACCCTCCACTCCAAGGGGAGACGAGTCGAGGAGAACCTCTATGCCCTGGTTTATCCGGGGATTTACATTATTTTTGATGTTGTTAATCGTCTCGATCTCAAGCCAACCATCGCCGAGGGGAGCCCCTGTCTCATCTAGTGGAATAACCGGCGTACTGATCCAACCCATACAAATGGAAGATTCGTTGAGGCTGGCAAGGATCCGACCGACAACACATGCTTTACTCCACCAACTGCGGCCTTTGTATATAAATGCACCATACAGATTAGCAATGGGCCCAAGCCTTTTCACCGCCTCGGGGTCGTTCTCCAGAAGAGTCGATATCAAAATGTCGCATATGGATTCACCTGGCATGACCAATCCAGTTAGCCAAGTACGAGATATCCACCCTCCAAAGTAGAGGTCCGAATTACCAGCAAAAGTGCTGCGGTCGTGGAGTTGGATTAGGTTTGACGTGTGACTTCTGCGGTACATGTCGCATTTTCCCAGCGGCTTAATGTTGCTCGGCAGGGGTTCTGTGCGTATTGGTGAAGCAAACATGCTCAGCAAATTCGATCGATCCGTAAAGGCGGCCTCCAATTTCTCCGTCATGATATGCTTCATCTTTTCAAAATCGGGCCACCTGAGAATTTCTGCAAAAACCAGTAGCGCCTCAAGTTGTTGCCATGGGTGTCGCGGAAGCTGAATGCAGTCAGTGATCTGCATCTCTTTGGACTTCGCTGCTGAGGGCGTGGGCTGGTTGTTCTTGGCTTTTTCTTTCACGATCCGATTGGTAGCAGGTTCAAGGTCTGCCTGCGGGTGATAATGGAAAGTGAGGTTCTCGAAAACGCGACGACAAAATATTAATCCCCAATCCGATATATCTGACCGCAGGCCATTTATGATGTAAATTCCACTTGCGGTAACAGGTATGTCTGTAGATTGGTTAAATATCCGGAGTTTTGCTGCTGCATCGGCACGAAACAAAATTTCAGCTGACAGCAAAATCTGCATGAGAAGCCACTTCCGTTCCAGCAGCGCAATTTTTGAGCTCTTTGATTTTGGGACATTATTCAGACAATCGCCGTCCTGATGTGGAGGAAACTCCCAGAGGATTTGACCCGCACGGGTCCTCCACTCGGCTAGGCTAAAATCTACCCAGGCACCCTTGATGCCCAGCACTTGAATTAGCGTACTAATCTGGAACCGAAAGCTATCGGGGTGTTCCGCATCGACGTTGTTTGGGGGCGGATATAAAAACGTGCTGAAGAGATGACGGTGGAGGTCTGAGACTGACTGTCTGTCAAGCAGGGTAACAGACTGTCCTTGAAGAGTAATTTGGTCCTGCACATTTGAAAGAGTTTGCAGCCTTTCTGTAATGGTCTCCATGGAGCAATCGCGGACACCAATGCGTTTCCAAGCAGCAGGGCCTTCCGCTATCAGTTTCAGACGATCGAGATTGGCATTGGGACGATAATCGGAGTAAGGTTCATTTTTTCCATTCGACCCGGTTATTAGATGCAGGTGCTTATCGAACTGGCGATGCCGAACGGAACGCTGCATTGGTTTGGGCTCATACAGAATCGGAAGCTCCATGAAATTGCGAAATCCAATACAACCATCCTCTTTCGCCGTAGACGAGAGCATGCTAGGGATCTCAAAAACTCCGACGTCAAAAGACGGTCGTCTGCTACCGTGCTTTGCAGTTAAGGTATCTGGATATATTTGTATTCCTCCATTCTCCGGCGATACCGGGATATGGGCATGGAGAGTTGACAGCGTGAAGGAAGGGTGTTGCAAAGGATTTCGATCAGTGAGATTTTGGATTCTTGTGCTCTCATCCCATGGGAAAATCACATGAGGATACCACTGGGGACGTTTCCCTTTCTCCAGCAAAAAGTGTGGCGCTCCAGAAAAGATATATTTCAGTTCATTTTCGGACAAGGAGTTCGAGGTGTCTGAGACCTCTTCCAGATGGGTTGCAGATTCATACGCCTCCTGGACTTCAGCGGGAACAGCCGGCTTGGGAATATATATACTTGGTCCCGAAACCCTGCGTGGATTGTCCGGACGGGAAGGCGAAGTAGAGGACTCAGAAGTTGGTGGATATCCTTCTTTTTTCTTTTTGTTGACGGTTAGCTCTATCCTCGTTTCCCCTCATAGATCTAGTTAGTGGGGTCGAATCACATTGCTTGGATTTTTGTCCTTTGGTGAATTTCCCTCACGCGAGCGATGCTGCCCAACAAAAAGCCTGGATATAGAATATTTTCTTCCGGTGGAACCGGACTGAGCCTCTCCAGATGCCGTTCCACTTCCGCGCTTCTTGCCATGCGTAAGCGGCATTCTGGAAGCTCAGGTTTAACAACGATGCGCGCAGAGTTGTCCCTGGCTCTAGATAGTTACTCTGTAGACATGGAAACAACGGAATGACAACAGCAGCGCCAACGAGGACACTGGAAGAGGACCAGAGCTATTTGCCATGATCTTGAGGGCAGGATGGAACTCCCAATGCCGAAGCACGCTTCATCCTGGCGCCATTGAACTTATGTAAGCTCATAAACTCCCCCTATCTAGTAGTTAAGTTAACGAGCGGAGTCCAATAACTTTTGAAGCCGAACACGGAGGACAAATAGATGACGTATGAAGCACCAACTGCAGCAAATCCCGATTTCTCCCCGGTTCGGGAGAGACAATAATTAATCTCTTTATCTCACGGCGAGCTCAACAACGCGAACCCGGGTAATCGTTTTCATTACCTGTTCTGCCGAAGTACTGAAGGTTTGGGTGCCTTGGTAGTTTCTTGGCTAAGCGTCAAATGCTTTCCAGCCTATTTTTCCTGCGCGTCTCGACGCCTCGGATATAGCCATATTTGTGATTGACAGGGCAGCGGATGTGCCTGGGGTTTGCTGGGTAGCGCCGTTTCTAAGTGATAGCATTCTCAGAGGAAGAAGTGGACAAGAATTCACTCTGTTCGAAATAGATCAGAAAGCGGCACCGTGAGACATTCTTCAAGCAAGGGTTTTTGGCAATATGAATTGCTTACCATCTGATATTTGGCGGCTCTTTTTCTGTCTTGCTGTCTGCAAGTTTTACTTGTCGCTGGGTACGATGCATACACAGGTGCCCTTTTCTTCCTGCTATCCGCTTCGATGTATTTCAAGAGGCAGAGAGAAGTGTGAATGGAAGAAATGATTCTACGGTGCGTGCTGGGCGCTAATATGACCAGCTTTGTGCGCCACTGCAGGTCACTGATTTTAGTTCGCGGACACTCCCATCTTTCACATAACTAAAACAAAAACAAACGACAGCCTGGAACTGCGCATCTGATTTCTGTCATTATTAGTATGCTACAATAGCTAATATGTAATCACCGCTTCGGAGCATATCCCCACTATTCGCTGAGAAGTGGGGCCGGGATTGAGCTGTACAAAAAGCATGCATATCGGGATATTATATTGAAAGCTGTCAAAACCGGGAAATTCGCAATCCGAACAGTGCATCAGCTGCTTGGCTGGGGTAAGAGACGGTTTTCTTCCCTGAAATTGTAACTAACAAAAGCTGGCGGAGAAAAGAGACTGGAGATAGAAGAACTACGCCATGGTCTCTCCACAGGGAGAGGAAAAGTAGCCTACGTTCACATGAACCCACGCCTGTTATCGCTGTCAACGGTGCTGCTGGTACACCTCCCTACCCTAACAATCGCTCGGTAGGTGAATCGATAACTAGCTGACAGCGTCGACAATCTGTGCGACATCTGAGATGCATCTTGCGCCCGCACATGTAGACATCTCTCAAGTTCTAGAAAGAGTGCGACTTTACAACCTCGGTCTAGCATGTTTGCTCTGTTGGAGGTCAAGATATTTATCAATATCAGCAATTGAATAATAGCAAGGACATTCTATTGAAGTCAAAACCGCACAGAAGTTCTCCTTCTATCCATGGAGGTTCAAAAGGGGGGGGGGAAGATATGTCGAGGCAAGCAAGGGGTGGATGAACGAGAAGAGAAGTTTTACTCTGCTTCAAGTCGCATAGCCGAAACAGACAAAGGTGTCTTTCATGCATGGGCTGCAGTGTTCTCCGCACTGGTCCATGTCTTTTCAATACTAAATAATCTAGTTGTGTTTTCGTGACTACATACAGAGCGTAATTATTTCCTGGAATAAGTTGCCATTGGCGTGGGTGGATCCCAGGGCAATTGCAGATGACAGGAACATCCAGGCATCCAGGGGGACCCGTAATCATAAAAAAGGGATTAATTAAAGTTGTCACGGATTCCAAAAAAAAAAAAAAAAAAAAAAAAAAAAAAAAAAAAAACCAATATGGACAAACGAAAACTCAAACCCATATCCGTTGTGAGCTCGAGATGAACCCAACCTCGGGATGTTGATCTCGAATCCTGGAAGCTTCGTACCCAATCATCTGCATCTCGCTTAAAAGGCTGGCTCCATCTGTACTTTCTGCGTGTGGTGGCAAAGGCGCAGTTTTGTTTGGCCAAATGTTAGTTGGGGGGGCGCTCGCTGGATGAACTTTGAACAACTGGCTTTTTTGCTGAAATATATTTAATTTGATACCCCCCGGTCCTCGTGCCTCAATCTGAATGATATGGTCACGGTTTCGGTGGAACTGACCCTAAGAAACAGGGAATTGCATCGTTGTTATCGGGGCAAAGGAAAAAGGAAGAAAGGAAGAAACGCAAAAAACGACAAGAGTATAACTTGTTCTGGGGAATAATTAACCCGCCTGAAGGTCTAGAAATTTGGAAATGAAGGTCTAGAAATCTCTCCGTACTAAGTGCGCGTATCTGTTTAATAGCGCGGGTTTAAATGTATTGAGCAAATCAGGGTCGTTCGATTACAAAAAGATGCCGTTATTTTCTTTTCATTCGCTCGACATTAAACATTTGTTTGGGCTTGCGATGATACTTTTTCTAGAACTCTACAACATAACCTCGACACAAATGAGCTTTCTCCAGGCTTTGAATATTAAGAAAGGAATATTTGAGATTGATATTTTTTTTTTTTTTTTTTTAATTTTTAATTTCCAATAGACGTGAAACTCATGAGGGATGAAATGTGGATTGGTAGTTAAACAAGTCATTGGATGTCCATTCACAAACTGCATCACCACTCAACAGCCATTTTCTTGAGAAAGCTAAAGAGAGTTCCGTTACGCTCCGCAGAGAATAAGGTAAAATGGTTGACAGGGGTCTTTAGCTCTCATCTCTCAGCTTCTCATTGCACCAGCAACTTGTACAGGATCCCGTAAAATCAACAATCCACATCTCGTCTTCTGCGTCCGCAAGGACGTTGTCTGGTCTTACGTCCCACCCAAATAATTACCAGCCTGGTGAAGTTCGTTATCCTCAGTTTCACCGGCCTGATGTACCACTCCTCCAAGGGGATGATGACCTGCGTTAAACTAAACCTACTTTTTTATAGAAATAGCGTATGGCGGAACCCGATGTAGGCGAGCAGAATTCTGGGCATTCAGCGTCATCTCTACACCCAGCGGAGGCAAAACTGAGGAGCTCAGGTTACTCAAATCCTATCGCCAAGTCCAGAATGGCAGAGCAGGATGTCGACTTTTGCGTTTAAAAAATGCTTGGAGCTCCCATTGTAAGATGGCTTACAAAAACAGCTCCTTGTCTGTGCCATTGAGAAATACTTTTGAAGGTCACGCTGGTCGCTTTTGCTCCGCATCCCAGGGGCATCTGCGTTCATAGCAGCACTCCAGAGGTGGATGCGCGGTGAAATATCCTTTGCCTCAGGTAATTGCTGTGTTGTAGCCAACTTGCCATCGACATCCGAATGATTAACTAGGTAGATTATCGGAGTGTTGTAATATTCCTCCTCTTAACGTGGTTGTTTCGTGAGCTCGTTGGAAAAGCACGCCTCCGCCCCATCCAAGTGACACAGCTTTTCCGTCGGGTCCGGTTCATCGGGGTTGAAGCTTGAAAGCCGTCATCATCCATGGATAACGAGGTCAACTATTCGACGCAGGAAATTGTCCTTAGAGACTGAGCAGTCAATCCAGGTCCAACATTTCCTGCCAAGACTGGAAGATCGTTTATCGTTAACACAACATTGCGAACAAGGTCAGTTCTGTCTTTATCACCACAAGCAAAATGGAATTTGTCTTAAGGCGGCGAATCATGCGCCGGAGAGGGCGTCGAGGTTGAGGTTGTGTTTAGTGGTGATTTTCAACCATCGTTTAACCGTAGAGGGGCTTTGTCGCCTTGAGAGATGATGCATTCTCTCGCGAGGTCGAAGGCTAGTTAACTATAAAAGTAAGACGAGAGAGGTCGTACCATTTGCTAGCCAGCCCCTCTCCGAGTTACTTACAGAGGTTCTGCGTGGGCACTTATATTTAACAAAACAGGGAGATATTTCCCAACCCAAATACAATTTAATTAGTAGTTACAAGTTTCTACAGATCATCTCTTAAACGGCCCCACTTTTCTTTGTGGAAATTTACCACTAGTTTTATATATGAAATCCAGTTCACTTAAAATGTGAGAATCTTTAAATTTAGTCTTCCTCCTCCTGATTATTTCAAAATAATCACAACGCCTACCTACCTCCCTACCTGCCTCACTGCCAACCCTCCTATTCATCAACCTGCTCATCCATTTCACAAGGTAGGTTAGATTGACAGGCAGGAAGAGTGAGGCAGCAGACAGGTAGCTGAGGCGGGGGAGTGAATATAGAATGAGTTGCAGCGGAAGAGAAACACCGGCCTGCCCACTACTGCTGCTGCTGCTGCTGCTGCTGCTTGAGACTTATTTTGAAATAGACATGTTTTAAGTGAGATCAGTATTTCACATCCAAAAACCTAGTGGGAAACTCCAAAAAAAGAAAAGTGGAGCTATTTTAAGGTTTTGGGACCGAATTGAGATGATCTGTAGAAACCGAGACCTAAAATTGTATTTGGGCCGGATATATTAATAACTACGTATATACGTACAATGTACTGCGCATACGGAGTACGGAGTAACTATCGTTCATTTCTTCCGGCCATTCCACGCACCGAGAAAGAGAGCCTGGAAAGAGTTTACAGGGGGGGATCTGTAGCTACTCGTTCAACTCCGTAGAGGAATGGATTAATTGACTTAGTTGGCTGTATTGGTTGCGTGCTGGATTGTCCATCTCGTCTTCACGTTTGAATAGCCAGGACCGGAAAGCTTGTCAGAGCCAAAAAATAAGCCTATCCACCAACGACGAGTGTCTATTGGCTGGTTACTGGTCGTTTATCCCAAAGTATGGTCGCCTTGCAGTTGGTCCAATCCAGAGATTCCAACGTCTAACGAGGGATCGAAGATATGCCAGCGGGCAGGGCACGAAGCAATAAAAGTCCATCCCCATCACCACTACTGCTGCTGCTGCTACTTCTACCACTACTACTGCCACTCTACTCTGTACCAGTGACTATGCTGATGTGGGACTAGTTAAACGGCCGCTGTCCACCATCATCGCTGCTGACCCCATCCATCAAACACCAGCACAGTTCGTCCAACTAGTGAAAACACCAGAGTGGGAATTCCTGGTGGGTTCTCTGCCTTAGTTAATGAACGGAGCAAGCCAAGATGTAAACTATCACCCTCAGGCTTCTTCGGGTGACGAAACGATTTTTGAAGGAGTCAGTTGTTCTGTCTGGTCGTAATATTCAAGAGATAAATAGCCGAAGAAGCTCGTCATCTTGTTAACCTTTGGATCTTCTGTGCTCTCTCCCTCTCCTCCCTTGATCTGTATACATAACTTCCTCCCTCTTGTCTGCTCATCCTCCCAGGATGTCCATCGTCCATATTATTCATCTGGGCTGAACTGCTCCATCGCCCTCCGAAACGAATCGACATATTGCCACACACGGATCGTTTGGGGGTTTAATAAATATAAAGTGAGTCTATGCTGCTTTGTTTGTCATCATGTGTTTTGGTTTTGAGCGTCATTCCATTTCTTTGGACTTTGGTTCAGGCCTTCCCGCCTTTTCCATTATGGATCTAGGAGAGTTCCAGCTGCGAGGAAGATTGCGTCCAACTTCGGCCAACTGGGTCTTTGCGTGTATGCGCGTGTACCATGAAGTACCTGACTGGCTCTCCCTAAGCTCCGGGATACCTGGGTTTGACCCGGTGTACCAGAGCCACACCAAAGTTTGTCTCGAAACTTCGGAAGAGTCACGCCGCTCCACACTGCATCGCCTCCTGCTTAAGTCATCCTCCTAGTATATATCCAGCGTATCCCAGCAGCCCAACACTGTGTCTTTTTTATTTTTATTGGTCTCTGTTCTCTTCTCTCTGTACATGTTGCTGCTTAACTGCTCGCTCTCCTATATTACTGTTTCATTCCCTAACTGGTGTTTGTCTGTCTCTTTACCTCTCGTTTCCTTTCCTCTCCTATAGATATCCTCCCCCTTCGGCCGACAGTGTTGCGGGTTCCAACCAACTTCCGTGTCTCCCGAACGAAGATCCAAAGGGACTTGAAGAAGCTAGAATCAGTCTCCCAGGGACATTACGTTTTTGCGGCCCTTACAATCACAATCTGCTCTGTTCGACCATTATCGTTTCTAAACGTTACCACTTCAGGGTATATAACATAGCTCCCCGGACCCCCTGCCTGGCCAGCTCAAGTACGAATAGTATTCATTCTATTGAATATTCCAGCTAATGAAATCCACAGCCACTTCTGCCTTAATTCCGTCATTATCTCATCCTTTGTCAAGTCATCAAACCACTCCTTTAAAGAGCCGCCAACGAACAACCAGCCAAGAACCGAGCTTCGTAGAGCCGTATCACCCACCGATCCATCTGTCCTCTTCTCAACTGAATAGCCCTGTTGCCAAAACCTTCGACTCACCATCACTGCCGCAAATATTACAATAATACAAATGGCACCTCCAAGAAAGCCGCGCTGCCACTTTAAGGACTGTAAAGAACCCGTCCAGCGGATTGTTGGTGATTGCGGATTCTGCAACGGTCATTTCTGTGGTAAACACCGCATGCTGGAATCGCATGCTTGTAGCGGGCTGGAGGACTGCAAGAAGGAGAGTCATGAACGGAATGCGGAGCGGTTGAACGCGGAAAGGACGACGGTTATCAAGGGTGTATAGGCGGTGAAAAGTCTGTAATTCAGGCCTGGGGTAGATCATGATTGAGTCGTGGCAACCCACCCTCACGATATACTATCTGATCCGCTTTCAATATCCCTAGGGTGTGGCATCTTCACCGGCCTAGGGATTTTGGTTGGTTGGACCGTGGAATGCCAAATGGATAAGCAGCTCGAACGTGTGAAGGGGAACAATCATAATGAACCTGCTTTAGACAACCTGCCGTTGAGCAATGTGGTTGAGAGAGCTCAACGCGATTTACGATTATTGAAGGCTCAGCAAAGATATGCTTCAAACCGTGCGCAGGCTTTCCTCCCGCATACGCGCTCTCAGTTTCACACCCACCTTCCCACCATCCCACCTCCACCCCTTTTCCGAGGTTCCCTTCGACCTCTCAACCTCACGATCTTTCACCCTCTGGCTAGTTTTGTCCGATTCTTCATTTTATTATCATTAATTATCATTACTATTATTACTATTATTATTTTGTTGTCCACGCGCGAAACCAATTGCATGGCGTCCGGTAGTTACACCCTCCCGTGTTTCGAAACCCTGGATCTTCGTCCCCTGGATACTTTTGTCATTTTTTCTGGCATAATCTCCCCCAAGCAATCTTACTAACTGATACGTTATCATTGACTTAGCAATTAATTGTCCTCTTTTGTGAATAAGATATCTATATACCATCTTCTTTTGAAGGCAAGCTTGACAAATGCCATATTACCCTATTGAAACATCTGTACATAAACTGCTGGTCTCCTTAGCAAAGGTTTTCTTTTTGAAACGTTATTTTCCCTGTATTTTTATTTAATTTTTTTTTTAAACTAATAATTTGAAGTAGTAAGGAAGTGGAATAGTTGGATACATATTTAGAAACGCTGTCACTTTAGAGGTCATGCGATTTAAACGCTTCACCTGGAGGTAGCTGCAAATCACACACTTGAATCCGCTCGTTCAATTCTCATATATATCATATTAACATAAACCAGAAAGTAATAAAACGAGAGCCTTTCATTCCCACTCTGTTCCCCAAACTGCCGCGAGGATGGTGCCGGCAAGAACGTCTAAAACCTCATCAAATCTGTCTACTCCAGAGACATAAAAACGCTTGTTGCTGTGTACATCTCACAACATCATAAAAACTGTGATAAACCCTCTATTCACCGCGTCAAATACAGAGTGAAGCCTGTAGTTACTGTACATCTACTATATGAACTTATATGGAGGAGCCACATTAGAGAGGCAGGGGAGACACGGAACGAAGCAGTCCGCGATATGGCTTCTATGCCATCGCAACACTCAAAAGAAGCAACGTAGAGGACGAGGGAGGGAGGGAGGGAGGGAGGGAGGGGACGATGTCATGTCCATCGTGCAGGATATATGTACATGTATGGGATTTGGAGATTGAGACGCAATGTCGATATAACCAACCACATACACGTATGTTAACCGGGTCCGATTCGGGGCCTGTGGGCAGTCAAAGGGAAATGTCAGTAGTTAACTTGGAACAGATGGGTCAGGCGGTATATGTATATTGCCAGCCCGCAAAGCCGCAGAGTCTTGGTGAGAATGACAGACGTACATATCGTGATGCTCGCTCAGATTGCTAAGGTACTTATTCAGCTCCTCCACGCGCTCCTTGTGCGTCTTAAACCCTTCACGCTTGAGACGTTCGTCGAGCTGTACGTGGAAAAGTAAGAAGTTAGCAGAGCAGAGCGAAGGGCAAAACATATATATATATATATATATATATTCAAACAGGCTGAATGGAAAACATATATACATACCCTCTTCCTCCGCGCCTCCTCATACTTCCTCTCCGCCTCCGTCTTTCCCACAACGACCTTCTCTGGCCCCTCGCTCACGGCCCGACTCTGACTTCTACTCCGCTCGTCGCCCTCGACACCCCTCGCACCTAGCATAGCATCATCCTTCTCAATACTCCCGCTCCCATCTACCTCCTCAGCACCTTTCGCATTTTCCTTCTTTCGCTTCATCTTTCCCTTTTTACCAATCCGGCCATCCAGTACGGGAGCACCTTTTATCTTGAGCTTCCCGCCGCCGCTAACATATTCGTCTGCGGGAGCCATGGCGTACCTGTACTGCAAGGTTATTGGCGGAGGTGTGCGTGTACTAGGACAGATAGATATTGCTTCATTGCTGCGCAGAATCAATAGCTGGGGGGGGTGGGGGGGGGCCTGGCTGACTGATTAGTGATTCCAGAACCTTGCGACTTGTAGCAGGTTTTGTTCGGAGAGGTTTAGTTGGATTATTCCATTACATAATCCCGGGCTTTGGTATTGCCACACACACGCAAATTTCGAAAGATTTGACTTTAATAGGGGGGGGTTATTCAAGCAAACTTTGAGAATCTTAACTACTGGTTGATGAATTCAATACAGTAATATACAGTAATGCAACCCCAGATGGTAAGTCAACTTGAATTCATCAGATGGTTGCAAGTGTAAACATAGCTCCCTTTCGAGCAATCGCTATTATTATCATCAACATATATACAAACTCTTTCGAGGCACAAAGTGCAGAGCGAACTGAAGATGGATTTTTTTTTAGTTTTTCGCCAAAATGTTCCCAACAATGGATTTCAGTCAAATGGAATTGGCCGTAGAGTAGAACCACCCAGTCTCTTCCGCATCTCTTCCCCAGCAGCAACCGCACTAGGGACCTTGATGCCACAGCAATCTCCCCAGTGATCGCCACCCGTGTCTTTAGAATGGCGATGCGTGTGAGCTTCGCCTTCCCCATCCCCAGAAGCCTGTTCCAACTCATCCTTCCGCTCACCCATCCCAGGCACAGCAGGTATCAGACCACCAAACATGAAATGTTGCATAATAGGCAACTTCCCCAAGACCTCTTTGACGAACATCTTTTTCATGCCGGCCTCGACCTTTTGCCAACTCTTGGCGCCAGAGATATCGTCCAGCATGGGACTGTGCCAGCGCAGCCCCTTGACTGTCTTCACACTATCGACCCATCGAACCTGCTCCAGATATATCCAGTCGCCCCCCTCCTCGTCCAAGACGGCCTTGTTATGAATCCCCAGAGGCGTGATGTAGCGATGGGCAACTAGCTGCGCAGCGCCAAAGAGGAACGGCAAGAAATGATAGTCGTCCAGACCCCAGACGCCATGCGAGCCGGCAGGTTCAAGGTAATAGGTTGACTGTATCCGGCGCAGGAGATGCATGTATCGAACAAACACTCGCAGAACTAAGATGGGGAAATCCTGCCGCTCGAGTAACTCTAGCTGGTACATGCAAAGCAGCCACATGACGAAATTCAACTCGTGGCCAGAGCCATAATCGAGGCGGCTGCGGGAACCCAGCGAGTGCACAAGATATGTCGACAGCTCGTCAACTGGCCCCGTAGTATTGGTATCGGTAGTTTTATCATCACCATCATCATCATCATCATCATCATCATCATCATCATTTCCACCCAAACCGATTATCCCCTGCTGCCACTGAGGGCTCTGTGCAGCCACATCATCGAAGAGCGAGCGGAAGGCGGGATTGCCAAAGCGCGAACCATTCTGATCGAGGGACGGGTGCTTCTCGACAAGTGTTTCTATATTTGCGAGTATGTCGAGGATTTTTACGACGGTGGGGGATGAGGGTACGTTTTCTATGGAAGATACGGGCGTGAACCGGACACTGTCGGACAAATTGAAGATAAACGCGAGAAGTAGAGTGTATGTGGGAGAGGAGAGGAATGCTTCATGGTCCTCTCTGGATAGGATTCGGCGCACTGGATGTGTACAAAGGACAGATCCTCGGTTTGGTGGCTTTGGGAGGTCTGGAGTGTCGGGAGGGGGTTCTTGGTTTGGCTGGGAGCCTCGTCGTCGGCCTCTGCCGGCTGACATTATGAGTCTTTTCGAGAGATCTATCTTTGTAGTCGTGGGGGAGGACAGCTGCTTTTCCGTTGAGGATGCCATGGCTGCGGTGGACTCCTTTCCGAAGGCTGTTAACAGTTCTCTGCATGGACTGTCATTCATCATTCATTCAGCTGCCTTAACTTTTTCCCAAGGGGGTTTGGAAGAATGTGATGGGTGACTAAGCGCATCGACTGCTCCGCATGGCTGGCCCGTGCACCGATCCTTTCATCGGCTCAAGACTAAAAAGTAACGCTAAATCCCGTTGGGACTAGCGCGCTCCCATCGGTCAAACATCTCATCAACACACCAACCAACGAACACTGGGCAGTGAAAGTATGTATCCTTTGGCGATTGTGAGAATGAGAATGCAACTTCTTAGGTGTAGCCGGAGTTGGGGTTATATGAGGGGCTCTTTGTTCTATTGTTTTGCCTCTCGCCATTCTCCGAATGTCCACTGTTTTTGGGTTTTTTGCCTCTGCCTTATATTATAAGCCACGATGACTGTAAAGGTGCAGCAGCAGATTTGCCACTTTTCAAACAAAGCAAGTAGTAGTAGTAGTAGTAGTAGTAGTAGTAGTAGTAGTAGTAGTAGTAGTAGTAGTAGTAGTAGTAGTAGTAGTAGTAGTTGAACACAAAAAAGCACACACATCTTTGAGAAAATCCTCACTGATACGCTTTTGTAGCTGAATGTAAAGTGGATCAAATTCAGCCTCCCCTTGAAACAAAATACCATCACTTACTTTTATGGCCATTTCGAGTGTTCTGCAAAAGATGAGACAGCCGGCGCAGTCGCACTAAAAAGTTAATTGATATATATTCAAAATAAATCTTCTTCAGAGAGAGAACATGCACACCGTAGGGGGGGGGGGGGGGGTTTGTTTACTTCGAACTTCGTCATCTGCGTCTGCATTAGAGCAACGCCAAGCACGGGATCTCACCAATGAACGGTTGCTGCCAGGGTTGGTTGGATCATTCCGTGCAAATGAGCACAGCATCAACCAAAGCCCAAATGATCCTCGCGAGTGGGAGCGAGATTCCTCCTCTTGCCCATCCCCGGGCCTGTCAAGCTAGCGGACGCGAATAAACTTAGTTGATAACCGGATCAAGCTTCCCCTAAGAAGTTAAATAAACAACAAGAACTCCGTTCGCCCTTCCCCGCCTTAATTTTAACAATCAGTTAGTTCATCAAAAACTGCCCTACCCACTCTTCTGTGTTCTATCGTATTTCTCCCCCGAGTCGTCGCATCTAGCTGAGTCACATCCACACCTATAACTACCCTGCTAGTACACCAAAGCAGTGAAATTTAAAGTAAATATATAAAAGACACAAGGGAAGAGAGGGCTATGATGAAATTCTAGCGCCTCCGGAAGCGCCCTCGCCCCAGATGACATCCACCGTCCCCAAACACCACCACCACCACCACGACCACGACACCGCAAACCGGGGGTCTCTAAAGGCCTCCAATTCAGCTTCCAGCACCTCATCCAGTTTCTCCGCATTCTAGCTCACTGGGGCTCCAACAAGCTCACTACGCCACCGACGCCGTCACATCCTCTGGTTCCGGTCCTGCTCCTGCTCCTGCTCCTGCTCCTGCTCCTGCTCCTGCTCCTGCTCCCACC